ATAGCCGATATAGCCGTGAAAACACCCAGCCCCACCTTAACCCCAGCCGTTACAAATCACTCCAACATCTGCAAGCCGTTAGGAACGGTAGAGAAACAGCCCTGTGCCAGGGAGGTGCCCTGTCAGCCTGGAACATACTCGTGATGAGCCCGAGGCAATCAGTTGGAACCAATTTCTCCTGAGTCAGTTGGGAAACTAGAGTAAGCTGGAGAAGGGGACAAGAGCCCGGACTCGGGGTCTTGCTCTGAAGTAACTGTTTATATTGGGCAAGGCTGCCTTGCTAAGCTAAGGATCTACCTCCTCTCCTAAACTAGCAACTGAACTACAGGGAATTCAAGATGTTTGCAGTCTTCTGCATTGACAGACAACCACAAAAAGAGGAAGGGGATCATAAATATCCTCCCAGCAGGACCAGCAAGCTCCTAACAGACTGAACAAGCACCCCTTCCCCAGCTGGGAACAACAGCCTCGCTCCTCTGTCCCCCTGGGCTCAGCTTGCAACTGCCAGCTAGTTGTACCAACTTGTAGACAGTGAATAAACCGCAGTGTTGCAGTAAAGCAATTGCCTGTTGTGTTTTCTCTATTGCACGTTGCCACTGCTCTGCCAAGGTGAGCACCGGACTGGTGTCCGAGGAAGGGCAAGGACTGATGCAGCTTGGGCTTCAGCCTCGTGCCTCCCAGCGCTCCCCAGGACTGGGGCTGGGGTTAGCCTTATCTTCCCCTGTGTACTACCTACCAGAGGTGTGTCGTCTTGGTCTTTTGGAGACAACCTCCTCCTATCCCCTACGTTACATGCTGGCTTAGTAAGCCCCCTCCTCCCCAGCTCTGCTGTTCTGCCATGCTCAGAGGCACGCAAAGAAAGGCTGGTCTGAAACGGGGTAGACTGGTCTCTCCAACACAGAGCCACTCGTGCTGCCAGCTTCCCACTCTGCATCTCTTGCCTGCACGCTCAGGGCTCCGGCAGCTCCCTGCATCCGTGCTGCTGCGCTCGTAAGGGACAGCTCAGCAACAGGAAATGCTGTTTGCTTTGTTAACGAATCCTCCTAATTAAGTCCATGTGGAGAGAAAGCAAGAGAGACAGTTTAGTTCCTCTTGCTAAGTATTAACTGTTTACCCTTTGGGCACAGCAACCCAGTGAATTTATTTCCCCCTCTCACACACAGGACATCAAATCACTGAGCCTCCTCCAAACTCGCCGCCATTAGAGAGCTTCCCTAACGAAGCAGCATGGCTGCAGCACAAGGGACTAATTAGAATAGAAAATTCCAGTCTCCAAGTGCTGCCACCGACCTCCCATGAAGTGAGGTTTCGACATGCCTGTGAGGCAGCATCCCACCTCTCAAACCTTTGCTCTGAGGCCAGAGAAACGAAACTACACGGCTGAAATCCCAACCTCCGGGATTAGTCACAGAAAGAGAGAATACAATGAACAACTCTTTGCAGAGCTCAGTGCCTTTTCCCTAAGTTTCCCTGACATGCTTAGCCCAGATTCAGAGGGACCAGCCACCTGAGCTTGCAGCCAGATGCTCCCTACAGCGTCCAGAGGGACTCCGGGGTTTCTGCACTGACCGCGGCTATCGTCCCAGCGTCAGCAGCAGCAAACTTGGGACCACAGTGAAAGCTCATTTCTCCTAGTGCTGTCTTTGGAGCCCAGCCCCAGGTATTAACACAGCACCCGTCTGCAGAAGCACAGACCGAGCAGGATGGGTGCGTTGGCCACACTGGGATGCAGCTGCAGCCAGCAGTGTTTGGCACGGGGCCAGGGGCAAGGGCGCAACATCCACCCTAGGGCAGAAACCCCACGCTAGTCATAGCACATTATGCAACGTCATACAGCGAGGTACAGTTCCATGAAATACGAATACAGGCACAACACAAACATTATGTTTTATGTTAATTAGGCACAGAAACAAGGGAATCTATGTAACATAGCTCTATAAATCATACATGTTTCTCCCAAGTTTGTACGTTGTGGGGTGTGAAGCAGCACTTGATTTTGCTGCTTGCAGCAGTGACTGAGAAAATTCCAACTCTCATGCCCTTCTGACCACGTCCTTTTGGGGTTTTGCTTCACCCAACACTCTGGCTGACGTTCCCCAGCCCACTTCATACACTGAAATGTGCTCCAGCTGCACACCAAGGGCAGCTTGGTGTGGTGCGGGTATGCACACATGCAACAACATGGGATGAACATCCCTCTTACTACTTGACAACCACACTTTGCTCAGCTAGGAGCTGTGTAAAGAAAGATCACACAGTTTGATAATCCTGGTATTTGAGAAGATCGTATCTGAGAACTTCTCTGTCCATGCCGGGGGAGGTGGAAGCAGGGTTGTCTCATGGCTCAGAACAAATGGCTACAAACAAACCATAGCAGGCTTGGTCTTTTACATATCTATATAAAAAAAGGGAATATGTATATAAAATAAAGATTATATATACATACATATAAAAATAAAAAATATTAAAAAAATACATTAAAG